GATTTCATCCCGCCCATCAGGATTAATTTGCAAAAAACAATGTAATTAATGCATGGTAGAGAAAAATATCAAAGGGGGGTTCAAGACGTAAATCCTGAATAACGTCTTGAAACCAAAGGAGGGTTCGAGTTGAAAACCTGAAAAGGTGGCTCGAATATAAAAATTGTGCAACAGAGGCGATCACACAAATTCCTTGATAAGGCATCGCACAATCCGAGTGTGACAACGAAGGTTGGGAGTCAGAGAACACTTCCAGCAGAGAAACATGCAAGCTACCCCAACAATCCTTTGAGCATAAAATGCCAAACCTTTGACCAAACACGATAATCTGAGACTTTTTTATCCGTTCCTTACTTAACCATTTCCCAAAGATAGCTTTGATCTTGACACTTGTCAAATAGCTATATTTATTGAAGGATTAACATTGTAATTAATTCTTTGATATCCGATGAACTCTAGTTTTATGATTCGTCTCAATTGTAAAACCGTGAAAGTGACAATATTTTCAAAACTTTTGGTTAAACATTTTTAGAAACTCTTTTAATTGATATTTTCATAACTTTGAAAATAAAAGAGAAAGAAAAACATTTTTTTTTCAAACAAGACAGTCTCTCTAGAGTGGATCTTGGTAAATGACATGTGACTCTTAGACACAAAGCTCGTGCTCAGAATCAATGCTGAAGCAAGAAATGAGGATATTTGGGGCATCTTTTGAAGATTCAACATCAAATATTAGGGCATTTTTGGATATTGGGGCATCTTTGGGGATTCAACATCCTAATGCGAATTATCAGACCTTCTGAAGGCATTTCCTCCACATGCAGGACAAACAGGCAAAAATGAGGCTCTATCCAAGAGATAAATGACAATAATTCATGTTGCATGCATCTTAGACATACTTGAGAGCATCACATTTATCATTTTTAGCATACATAATTTTTGTAGCTTTAGAGTCAAGTTTCAACTTCAATGCGAAAGATACCTGATTCAAAAAAATTTGTAAAAATCGATAGTGGTTTCTTAACTCAGTAGCAAGGAGCTACACCTCAACTAATTTGATATATTGAAAGATCGACAGATCTTAGAATCAACTTCAGACGAGTTGGAGAGCTAATTCAGAACCGATCCAGTTCACATTTTCAAGTTGGATTTCAACTTCACGACCAAGGATATCCAATTCCTGGCTCAACTTCACAGCGAAGGGGCCACCCACGGTTTCAACTTCACGACGAAGGGAATCGTGCTCACCATTGTCTCTCTTTAGACAGTTTCCCTTGAAACAAACTTTGTCTCTCTTGAGACAGTTTCCCTTGAAAAAAACCTTTTGAAATTGTTTCTCATGAAACACAAAAACCTTTGAAACATAAACATTGAAAACATTTCCCTTGAAATGAATTTTGTCTCTCTTGAGACAGTTTCCCTTGAAACAAAATCTTTGAATATGTTTTCCTTGGAACTAATTTCATCTCCCCGTGAGACAATTTCTTTTGGAACTAAGTTTTGTCTCTCTTGAGACAGTTTTTCTTAAAACAAAATTTTGTCTCCCTTGAGACCGTTTCTCATGAAACAACAGATATCTTTGAGATCGTTTCCCTTGAAACGAATTCTGTCTCTTTCGAGACAATTTCTCTTGAAGCATCATCTGAACCGTTACACTCAGCTCAGGCACATCAGATTTGAACATTTAAAGAATTCGAGATCAGGGATCAGAACTTGAAGATTCTAGAACTAAGATTCCAGAAAAGCAACCGAAGATCGAGATTTCTCTCCTGAGCCCAAAAATAACATATGTTGCATATGCATTTTAGGCATACCTAAGAGCATTGCATCCATCTCATCACATATATGCATAACTTTTTCAGGTTTTAGCTAGAGTCAATTTCAACTTCGCAGCGAATGATATTGAGCTCAAAGCTACACAATCAACTCGAGAGTAGATTTCAACTTCACGACGAAGGATATCTAGCTCAAAGCCAAACTTCACAATACTTGGATTTCAACTTCACGACGAAGGATATTCAAGTAAAGGCTCAACTTCACGACGAAGGGGTCATCCACGATTTTAACTCCACGATGGAGGATATCGTTCCCACACATCCACGATTTCAACTCCACAACAAAGGATATCGCGCCACCCAAGACAACACAAGTTCAACTTCATAACGAAGGGATGGCTGGTTGTCAACAAACAACTTCCCAATTTCAGAGCCAATTTTAACTTCGCAGCGAAGGATATTGGACTCAAGACAACACAAGTTCAACTTCACAACGAAGGGACGACTGGTTGTCAACAAATAACTTCCCAATTTCAGAGCCAATTTCAACTTCACAACGAAGGATATTGGACTCAAGACAACAAAAGTTCAACTTCACAACGAAGGGACGGCTGGTTGTCAACAAACAATTTCCCAATTTTAGAGCCAATTTCAACTTCACAGCGAAGGGAATTAGACTCGAGACAACACAAGTTCAACTTCACAACGAAGGGATGACTGGTTGTCAACAAACAATTTCCCAATTTCAGAACCAATTTCAACTTCACAGCGAAGGATATTGGACTCGAGACAACACAAGTTCAACTTCACAACGAAGGGACGGCTGGTTGTCCACAAACAATTTCCCAGTTCCAGAACCAATTTCAACTTCACGGCGGAGGATATTGGACTCTGAACAATACAACCTACTTGGATTTCAACTTCACGACGAAGGGTATCCAATTCCAGACTTAACTTTACGACGAAGGGGTCACCAACGGTTTTAACTTCACAACAAAGGGAATCGTGCACACAAGCAACATCCATCTCTAGATTGGATTTCAACTTCACGACGAAGGATATCCAACTCAAAGAAGGAGCGTCTGTCAACACACTTTTCAGTTTTAGAGTCAATTTCAACTTCACAGCGAAGGATATTGGCAAAAAAAAACGCAACTTACATTGGATTTCAGCTTCACGACGAATGATATCTAAATTCAAGGCTCAACTTCATGACGAAGGGGCCATATTCGATTCCAACTTCACAAACAGATTGACCCAACTTCACGATGAAGGAGTCATCTGTAACGCAGCAACACCGAAGTCTTCAGGACAAGTTTCACCTTCACGACAAAGTATCTTGATCCAGAAGATGATTCAAAGGTCACTCGCCAAAAGCTTTGAGTTCGATTTCAACTTCACGACGAAGGATATCGTGCTCAGAAGCTTCTAGTTCAACTCGACCTCACGACGAGGGAGTCATTCCATATTTCAGTTCAATTTGGCAAACCAATCAAATATCGGATTTTAACTCTGCGATAGAGGATATTCGATATGAAGGAAAATTTGTCATTTATCTTTTCCTTATTTTTTGTTCCACGAAAAAGGACAAAGAGGGGCAGCTGTAGACACTAATTTTCCAGCACCACATGTCTCCTCCCCGAAGACTCCTCCTGCAACCAATTTTCACAGCAACCAAAGAGCGTTATAAGTCTATTTTGTATAGGATTCTAAAAATAGTCTGCTTTTTCCATTATAAATACATGTAATCCATATCATTTGTAACACACGGATGGAGATACGAAATACAAGCAGAAATTACGAGCAATGTTAGAACGAAATCAGAGTTTTTTTTTCCTGCAAGTTTTCGAAGAGAAATACAAGGTAAATATAGTACCTTTTTTGAGTTTACGCTTGCATGCTTGTGTCTCGTTACATTTTGTATTCGAAAAACACCAAAGAAAATGATTTTTTTCCGATGAACAGGGGCATTTTTCGGGATCTATTTTAATAGATCTAGCCCCCGAGGCTTCTTTTCTTGAGAAAATACTTTGATTTTCGGAATGGGTGTGAAAAGGGGTAATCTCACTCTTGGTCCCCTCGTTTATAAAGGATTTAATTTCCACCCTGAAATCCCAATTCATCCTCAAAGTGCTCCAAAATTTGTTATTCGATTTTCTATTTTTACATTCTAGTCCGTTTTCTAAATTTGAATTTTCTTCTTATTTTATTTAATATTACATTATAGTATATATTTGATATTACTCCTGTATATTATTATTATTTATTTCCTTTTGTTGTTATGTATATACATGTATCATTATTATTTTATTATTTACTTATTTTATATTTATATGTTATATTATATTATATATATATATATATTACGTTATTTCTTAATATTTTTCTTTATATATTTTTTAGTTTACAAGCTAATATGTATGTATTTCCTTTTTTTACCTTTTTTCCCTTCGTTTTGTTTATTTATTTTATTTTTATTTTCTTTATTCATTGATTCATTTTTCCTATTTTATTTATTTATTTATCTTATTCCATTGTCTTCATTTTTTATATATTCCTTTTATTTTCATAATCTCCATATCGATTGTGTTGTTTACTTTTCGTCCATATTTGTTAGTATTTATTTATTTATTTTTGTTTATCTCTTCTTTATTTCATATTCTTTATTTTCAATTTATCTTCATCGTTTTTGTTTTTCTAACACTTTTCTTGATTATTTAAGGGTTCATTTTCCAAACCTTAGAGGTGAATAATTTGGATCGTCATTTTATCTTTTAATTTAACTTACAATTTTCTTAATCAAAGACAACTGGAAATTACGTAGTACCGAAAGGGCAGTTAAAGGGTGTTAACCCTTCCTTGACTGTAACCGACTCCCGAATCTGACACATCTTTGGCAAGACGTAGATCAGGTAAGAAATAAGGTGTTCGATCAACCCATTTGCTTTAAAATAAATGATCGGTGGCGACTCCAAATCCATTTTCCTAAGGTGAAGCCCAATTCTGGAGCCCAACCGAAAGACGGTTGCGACAACAACCAAATCATTTCATTGTCTTACTGAATACAGTGATAGATAATTAAGTGGGGGTCACATAAAGTCAATGTGGCATGTTTAAGAAGAATTATATTCATAATGCGAAGCTCATGCAAAGCAAAGTATAATAACACATCAACAACAAAAACAAGAAACTAAAGCAAAACAAGAGAAAGAAACAAAGAAAAACCTTAAGAGTCATGTAATCACGACTTAGAATATATCTTTCGTCCTTTGAAAATTTAATATCAGAGATTGAAGCAATTATCTCTGTAAAAAATGATCTAGAACCAGGTGCTTCCGGTTCTTCAAACCTGTTGGCATATAATATTACTTATACTTCAGAAAGAATACTGAAAGAAAATTGTAAATATATAATACCCTCACATATCAATACTATAGCATGGTATTTTAATTTGTTTATGCAAATCTGAGTAAATTCAACAAAAGAAGCGAAAATGGTATTGCACTTACAATTTGGTGTGAGAATGTTAGCAGTATACTTAGAAGCTTCCTGAAGATGAAGCTGTTATAACAGCTAAGGTTGTTAGCAAGTTAGTTTTGTTAGTTTTGGTTAGTTGCTCGGTTAAGGTGGTTATATTAGCAGCTGATACAACTAAGAGTAGTAGTATATAAGGAGCATCAATCTTGTACTCAAACACACGTTTTACATAATAACAATATTCAGATTATATTCCCCTGTTATTCACATTTCCAATATGGTATCATTTGCCAAACGATCCTGACTTTATTTTGTTTTCTACCGCTGCATGGAAGAGGAGGAGAAAATGTCATCGGCAGCGGCAACGGTTGCTAGACTGGTATCGTTCACATCCAAGCCGATCTAGCAAATGGTGAGCTTCATCCATCAAGAAGTGGAGGAGAGAGCTAACGAGATCTCTATTTCAGTTGATGTAACAGCAGTTTCATTTTGTTTCTTTGCGGTGAGGAAGAAGAGGGGTTTGGCAAAAGGAATTAAGAGTGCAATTCCTAGAGTTCAAACGAACAATGTACCAACAAGATGGTCACTCGCAGAGATAAAATCAGCTATAATGGGGTTTCATAATAGTCGAATCATTGGTAAAGGTGGTTCAACAGTTGTTTATAAAGGTTATGTTCCGTCGACTGGAACTGTCGTGGTGAAGCGATTTGATCAGTTCAACGAAAAACCATTCACTCGTAATCTTTTCAACACAGAGTTTGCCATCATGACCGGTTGGCTAAACCACTGTAACTTGATTCAGCTTCAAGGATGGTGTTATGAGGAATCTGAGTTGGTCTTGGTCTATGAGTACTTGTCCAATGGAAGCCTCTACCAACACATTCACAAAACCTCAGTTTCATCAACAACTACCCTTTCATGGAGCTTGAGATTAAAGGTAGTTCTCAGGGTTGCTTCTGTTCTTTCAATTTTGCATGAAGAATGTGAAAGACAGATAATACACAGAGATCTGAAAACTTACAACATCATGCTTGATGACGAGTTCAATGCCAAGCTCGGAGATTTCCGTTTAGTCGAAGTGTACGAACATTGTTGCGCTTCAAAAGATGCAACAATACCAGCCGGGACGATAGGATATCTGGCACCCGAGTACGTTTATACTGGTGTTCCAACTGTGAAAACTGACGTTTACAGCTTCAGAGTGGTTGTCCTGGAGGTGGCTACGGGAAAGAGGCCCGTGGATGAGAATGGAACCATGTTGGTTGACTGGATTTGGGACCTGTGGGTGAAAAAGAAACTAATTGAGGGCGTTGATTCAGGAATGTTGTGTAGGTACAATGTTTTAGAGATGGAAAGATTGTTTGTGAGAACACCTTGGATGCACGGTTGGATGTTGCATTCAATAAAAAGCTTCCAAAGATACGCAAGTGGCTCTTTGGTCAGGTTGGTGCTTGAAGGGTAGATGTTGAACAGAATCCAGTTTCTATACTGGTGCCAATGGCAAGGCTATCACCGCTATTTCTGCATAGTAGTATAATTCTTTTGTGTGTGTAAATAGAAGTTTAATTTTGTATTCATTTTGTTACTTTTGTTTCTTCTATCTCAAAGTGTCATGAGACTTGAAAGCTTCACAACTAAGAGTCCATAAAAAAATTCAAGGAACCTTGTAAAAGAGGATGAAGAAGAAAGAAATGAAGGTGAATAAGAAGTACGAAAGGAAGCATCAGCACTTTCGATTCAAAGTGAACGGAAGGAAGCATAGACAATTTCGATTCAAGAAGAACGAAAGGAAGCATCGGCACTTTCGATTCAAAGTGAACGGAAGGAAGCATCAGCACTTTCGACTCAATTGTTCATCTTTTCAATTGTTCAGATTTTGAAATGTTTCGTGACAAGATTGGAGTGCAAGTCTGTTCACGATCAGGAGAGGAGTAGAAGAAGAAGAAGTAGAGAGAATGTTAGCAGTATACTTAGAAGCTTCCTGAAGATGAAGCTGTTATAACAGCTAAGGTTGTTAGCAAGTGAGTTTTGTTAGTTTTGGTTAGTTGCTCGGTTAAGGTGGTTGTATTAACAGTTGATACAGCTAAGAGTAGTAGTATATAAGGAGCATCAATCTTGTACTCAAACACACGTTTTACATAATAGCAATATCCAGATTATATTCCCCTGTTATTCACATTTCCAATAGAGAATCACACAAAGCTGATTGTCGCAAATCAATGAGACGAATTAAACCCTTTGAACTACTATAAGCTAGCATATTACAATGGGTAGGGTGAAACTCAGCTGATGTTATAACCTCTACTTGATAGACATGGCAATAGTTCAAACCTTGCTTTTGTGAATTTATTAGATAGCACTGAAGTTGCATATACTTTCATAAGCCAAAGCATAGATGAAAGTACCAACATGTAAGAGGCTTACTAGTTAGATCCTCCATGTTTGCAGGCTTTATATCAACAATATTGAAACTTTGACTGCTAATTTCCAAGTTCCAAAGATTTATACGTGGATCATCAGCTGATATACAAGTTTCGCCATCACTAGGAAATATAAGTGAGACAGAGAGAGTGAGAGACTACCAGTATATCTTTGAAAATCAACTAATAGGAAAGCAAAACACTGAAAAAGTATGTGTTTTTCAACATAACGAGCAAGCTTGTCACACGAGAGCTTACTATTTTCTGATAAAATACAAACTGCATACAAGCCTAAAACTCAGCATAACGATTTCCAAAAATTACATGAATAAGAATAACAGCAGAAAAATAATGTTCGACTTCAAGATAAGTACTGGATAATTCTATGATAAAAGATTAATACTTTAGATTCAAATATTTCGCATGAACTAAATAATCTAATGCCTCAAGGGTTGCATCGGACAAAGCATATTCAGAAGATAGAGCCTACAAGTTCTCCTGCAAATGTGATGTCTCCAAGGCCTAAAAAGGAGATGAATAATTTCCAAGGAAAGCTGCATCCATATCATTTATATTATATCGTTTAGAAGTTCTCCAGTTTTCTCATAATCATGAATCGGCCTTTCATTTCTAAAGTATGAACAGTGTCCCCGAAGATCCATTTCAGAACGGCAGCTTCTTGCTCGGACATGACAACATAAGTCCAGAACCTAAAACACAAAGTTCATTATATAATTACTTGAAAAATCAATCATCCTTTATCATTATTAATACAGATTCATATGCCTTAACAAAACACAAAGTTTGGATGGAAAATGAAAAGAAAAAAAAATAGAAGCACAATCAATGCCGGTTTTAATCTCTACTCCAATCTAGAACCTAAAACTAGATAACATCACTTTCTCAGCAGACACCTCAGATTTACACTGCAAAGTACTAAGAAAACATATCAACAAAAATATAATAGAGGTTAAGAAATTATCAGTCTAAAAATCTTTATAAGCATATTAAAGTGTGGGCTGATGAAGACCTTTTGTCTATCAGTGAAGGATAAAGTAAGATGCATGATACTCCAACATATTATCTAGGAAAATGAAATAATACTTCTCTACAATTGATTTACAATAATCCAAATATAAGAAGACAAAACACCACAAAATTCAAATAATAATAATAATAAAAAAGAAAAGAAAATAGCTACCTGTTATTCGAAATAGAATTGATGTGATAATCATGAGCATGGCCATATACCCTTTGACATCTGGCCTCTAGGCTGGTATCTTGATTTGTTACCTAGATACAGTGAAGATTAAAGGTTGAGAAGCCAAGACATTTAGACAACAAAAGAAATGTTCCTGATTATTTGACAACAAAATCCTAACACTCTCCCCCAGCACACCAAAAAAAAAAAAAAAAAAAACAAACAAACAAGCAAACAAAAGAAAGGAGAAATAACAAGGTGATCTTCAAAGGACTTGTGTGACCAACGGTTATGAAGGCCCCATCATACAAAAATTATGCAGAGCAGAAAGTGGTAGATTCCTCAATAATAAAAATGATAACAGAATCTAAAATCTAACAGAATATTACATAAAACATTGAAGTGCATATCTATAGGAAATGAATAAAAAAAAATGTGTAAAAGGCTGAAAACTGAATATCATTTGCCTTCATCGCCAAAAGATGGGGTAAAGAAACACGGGCTTTGCCCCTAATTCAGTTTGGCAAGAGAGAGTAAGTCCTATACCTAGTTGAAGTACTGCTCTTGGAAATAACGGGTGCAACAAAGTAGTTCATCACCCTATTTTGCACTCGTATTACAATTAAAAAAAATTTAACCCCCAACCTTGAGATTGTTTAAAACTCATACGGTTCAAAATGTATACAAATATTAGCCTAAAACTTCATCGCAGCGAATATAAAAAAAGATTGTTTAAATACGACTACCAAAGGTAAACACAACGATGGAAGGCCTCCAGGTGGGAAAACGAAGTCATTGCTCAAATTGTTGTAGGATCCATCAAAGGAGCTTCCATTTGCAAGACAAGGTTTAGGGCTACTTGAACTAGCAATGCTGCCATTTCCCACAGCTTTTGATGGATCCAAATTCATGTTAGAAATTTTCTTGACTTTCTTTTCTTGTACCTGTTGAACCCCCTCATACAGACAGCAGATAAATAAGTGGATCAGAACGCAAGGGCAGAGGTACCCACAGATCATAATATCAACCATTAAATATGCTCAACACTAATGCTCATAAGATTCGCTAGGATAAAATGAGAATTATTGCTTAGTTTCTTTTCTAAGCATTTCCAAGGAATCAATCTATCTGTGGACCACTAACTTTACTGTGGTTTTGCAGAAAATATTTGTAACAATCCGAAAATTTCAAAATAATGTTTAATTGAAATTTGAGGTTAATTATGAAAATTGGTGAAATTTGGGGACTAAATTGG